ATTTAAAGTTCCTCCACGTAGAAGGGGTCCGTCTCCACCTGTTGTTGAGTTGCAACAGAAGTTCTGGAGGTAAAGACGAGTATAATTTCTCCGCAATTGCATTCGTTGTCTCTACTTACTACTTTTTACTCCCGAATCTCTCGGAGATGTGCGTCAAATATTCACCGTTTTGGGCTCATCAGAAGCGCATTGGATAGTGGTTGAGGGTCTAAACGTAAGGATCTGGTGTCAAAGGCGATAAAAATCTAAGCGGCAAGTTGCGACAGCGCTGAGATACACTGTCAGACGCGCTCTGTGCAAACGGCAAAAGGTAGCCCCCCAGGGGTGAGGTGACAGCGCCCCCCGCGCATTGCGGCGGGAGGTGGCGATTGCCCCATTTGCAAAGGCTGTAAGAAGAGAAAGAGAGCGCGCGCTTCCAGTCCGGCAGTGGCCATCCCTGCAGCGCGGATCAAAGCCAGTATGAAAGAGCAAAATTTGCCGAGCTTGGCACTCTCGCCCGGGTAGATGAGCTAGCTGGGCTCTGCTTCGGGGTGAACCGAGCACCACCACTGTCATGTTTCCTGGCATATTTGTCAGAGAGAGCACGCTCTGAGCGCTGAAGGTGCACGGGCGAGCAGCAGAAAGGAGGAAATTAAGAGCAGAGGAAGAACATTACTGCCACGAACCACTTTTCTGGCCACACGGATGAGTATCGCCATCTAGCGGTTGAACTAATGGCTTGTTCAAGATGGCCGCCGTGGGACCGCCGCCTTAAAAAGGCGATGCAACAATTTTTGAACTTTGCAAAAATACGGCTTAGAGCGAAACCCTGACATTGATCACCTATGAAGCACGTGTTCGTTTTTCACGACAGGCAAATAAAAGTCACAAAAAATCTTTAAAAAAAATTAAAGCCGTTTACAACTCCCTGTAACGCCGAATTAGAGCGCAGCTCTTGAGGAGGAGGAGGGAAGGGTACTGAGGGTAACCTGACCTCGATGGGGGGGGGGGGGTCACGTGACTGGGGAGAGGGGTCACGTCACCTCAAGGGGGGGGGGTCACGTGACCCCTCTCTCAGAGGTCACCGAAGGTGCCCGAGATCCTGCCGAGGTCCTCCCGAAGGAACCCGAGGTCCACCCGAAGGAACCCGAGGTCCTCCCAAGGTCCTCCCGAAGGAACCCGAGGTCCTCCCGAAGGAACCCGAAGTCCTCCCGAGGTCCTGCCGAAGGAACCCGAGGCCCTCCGGGGTCCTCCCGAAGGAACCCGAGGTCCTCCCGAAGGAACCTGAGGTTCTCCCGAGGTCCTCCTGAAGGAACCCGAGGTCCTCCTGAAGGAACCCGAGGTCCTCCTGAAGGAACCCGAGGTCCTCCTGAAGGAACCCGAGGTCCTTCGGGAGGACCTCGGGTTCCTTCGGGAAAATTTACCCACAATGCACCACGCGTTTACGCTGACGGCGACGGTGAAAGCGACGCCGCTCAAGCCGGAAACGGGCACCTAAGAGCTGCGCTCGAAAAAACCAGCAGCATTCACCCCCTCAACTCGCCGCAAGAACGAGCGACCACGGGAGGAGCCGGTTATATGCCGCCGACGTTGATCATAGCCACGCTCTTGGACTTTTAAAGCACAGGACACTATCCAGACATTGTTATGGTTCGGCTATTGTCGTCACGTGAGCGATTGAACAGGGGCCACAACCCGAACGCTTATCGAACTATATGTTATAACGAGCCAAAATCGTGTGCTCACGCAATGCTTGGGTCCATTCTATGAGCCGCATCCAGATATCGTCACTGGGGGATACCGCGACCCCCAGCCACGTCATCAAGTTTTGCGAAGGAGAGATTGAAAGAAAACGCTAGCTTTTGCCCTTGAAATAGGCCCTTTTTAGAAATGCAATGCCATCTGGCGGCTCAAATGGTTGTTTAACTTTTGTCGTGCTAATGGCTGCAATGAACTTGTAGTCTGCAGTATTTTATTGCGCACCGCAACTTTCGCAAATAAACGGCAACGAGAATGTGCCCTTCACTGTACAGTGAATAGCAGATTCTCATTAGCCGTTGACTTTCAAGGCGTCTGCGAGGGTTGGCGCTTCGTCATGACTGGTTGCATCTTTGTGGCCATAAACACTGAACGAGATCGAGTAAGAACTGTACATACAGTTCTTTTTCGATATCGTTCAATGTCGATGGCCAAAAGTATTCAACCAGTCATAAGAAAGCGCCAACCCTCGTGCACGCCTTGATAAAGTTTTGTACATTTCGGGGCTTTGAAACCAATTGTGTGCCACTGACAGATTGACCGGGCCCGAGTTAGAAATAAATGCTTACGCATCTCTCACATACAATTCCTGCTTCGCATCGTGGTAACGTCTCAAATGTATAGGCCTCAAATCACCAGCTTAGGAGCATTTTCAACTTCTTTGTCCGTGGCTCCGGTATCTGTACTTTGCCCGTGGCTCCGGCATCTATACTAATAAGCGGCTAGAACTTAAAGCACCCTTTCAGCGTACGACAGTTAAAGTACATATTATGGTATACTCTAAGTTTACAAAGGGCGCTTTTAGTATACTTCAACTTACTAGAAGTACAGTTTCTGTCTCGGAGGTTAATTCTTGGGGTTGATCGGTATTTACCGAAATCACAAAGGCCAAGTTATTAACGCCTTGGCGGCACACTATAAAAAATACGACATCGATTTTTTTTTTAGAGCGCAGCTCTTAGGGGGCCGTTTCCGGCTTGAGCGGTGTCGGCGTCGCCGTCGGCGTCGCCGTCGCCGTTGGCGTCGCCGTCGGCGTAACCGCGCGGTGCATCATGGGAAATGTCCCATAATGCACCGCGCGAGCCCCCCACCGGGGTCACGTGACCTCGTGGGGGGCACGTGACCCCCCCGAAGTCACGTGACCCCGGTGCATCATGGGAAATGTCCCATAATGCACCGCGCGAGCCCCCCACCGGGGTCACGTGACCTCGTGGGGGGCACGTGACCCCCCCGAGGTCACGTGACTCCCCTGAGGTCACGTGACCCCCGCCGATGTCGCGTGACCCCCAATGACGTCATCGTCACTGATGACGTCACCGGCATCCACATCGTCATCGTCATCATCACTAATGACGTCATCATCACTGATGACGTCACCGGCATCCACATCGTCATCCTCATCATCACTGATGACGTCACCGGCATCCACATCGTCATCGTCATCATCACTGATGACGTCACCGGCATCCGCATCGTCATCGTCATCATCACTGATGACGTTGCCGACATCCGCATCGTCATCGTCCTCATCACTGATGACGTCATCAGTGACGTCACTGATGTCGTCACCGACATCCACATCGTCATCGTCATCGTCACTGATGACGTCACCGGCATCCGCATCGTCATCGTCATCATCACTGATGACGTCACCGGCATCCGCATCGTCATCGTCATCATCACTGATGACGTTACCGACATCCGCATCGTCATCGTCATCATCACTGATGACGTCATCAGCGACGTCACTGATGACGTCACCGACATTCGCATCGTCATCGTCATCATCACTGGTGAAGTCATCAGTGACGTCACTAATGACGTCATCGGTACCCGCATCGTGATTGTCAATGATGACGTCATCAGTGACCTCAGTGATGACATCATCGGCATTGGGGGTCACGTGACCCCCAAGGTCACGTGACCACCCCCTGGTTAGTTTAACCCCCCCCCCAGTGCCCTTCCCTCCTCCTCCTCAAGAGCTGCGCTCTAATTCGGCGTTACAGGGAGTTGTAAGCAGCTTTCACTTTTTTCGTGTACTGGAAGCCGGGAAGTTTGAGCCGACATGCCTCCACAGCAGGTGCCGTAACGAGTCAACGTGAGCCAATCTTACACCGTCTTGTTTCCGCAACGTCATGTGGTTGTTTCTTCCCTTAGTTTCGGTATGGCAGACTCTAGACACCATAACGTCACCCTGAAATAGCTCGAAGACGAATTTAGTTCTCCGGCTTCTAACAACCGCTATAAGATATTTGGACTACGGTCAACGCTAGAACCTTTCCGTCTGGTCTGGTCATTTCAATAACTATCGTCATCTAAATGTATATCATCTGTACATGGCGGCCTATCAATGGCTCGTGAACGAAGGATTTGAAAACAGGCACCGTTACGGAGCCTGACTATCCCAGAAGTTAGTTTTCTGTATTGTTATTAGATGTCACAATGGCGAGAATTATATAGCTTCTACGCGCAGCGCAGTTGAGGCTGTCATGTAAATCCTTGGGGTGTCCATTTTTGTCATGCCCCAGACAGCGCATGGCATTAAAATGTGGTGAATTTTATCAAAAGTTTTACTCACATAAACGCCTCATGCAGAGTGAGAGTTTCTTGGCACCATCCAAACTCAAACAAATAGAGAAATAAGTGTACAGCGAAGAACACCCCAACTTTAAGACGAATATGTACTAGATTTTAACGGCGCTTAACATAGAAATATGTAGATTGGTATTTGAGCCACTGGGTGATGCATGGCGGCTGGAAACCTGGAAACTTCAGAAGCATAGCACTAAATTTGTTAAAGGATCTAATATGTAATTTAAATGTGCTACATAGTTTTTCAAGACTTATTCTCATTCGCTGGTGAAGCACCATGTCGTTTGTTTTGATTTCCAAGCATGATGTGGAAATCGGAACAGATAAGTTCTTTTCCTGTTAATTATTTAATTTCAATATACGATTCATAGAACTACCCTCCAGTAAATAATCTTAATCGATACAAGATTCCGGCTTGCAAGTTAAGCACATCCTATTTGCCCCTACGTGCAGTGTTTTTTCCATACCGGAAAAAAAGCCGTTCTATTGAATCTACCCGGAACTCCTTTGTGTGAAACCGGACGTCATGAGTTTGGTGATGTGAAAACAATTGTTGCAAGCCCCATGAGCTCTGCAAACCCGCGTAAAATAGAAGCATAAAAAGCAACAACATAAAATGCTGAGAGCATTAAAAAAATGTCTCACATTCTGTACAAGTCATACCAGCTGTAATGGAGAAAGCGTTCTGCGTACTTGTTACTTTGCTTGCTTCAATGCTCATTTGCAATGGATCATCCTATGCCCGTAAGATCAATCCTTATCTTACCAACGTTAGTAAAGCGACTCTATAGTACCTGATAACTTAAAAAACACAGGCTGGGGCGAGATCGTTTGGTGTAGTGCTACAGCAGCCTTTGTTTGCATTTTTCACCTTGTTTGAATAGACGGCGGGAATAGCATGCTAAGCCGCACGACGAGACCATTTTTGGGGGTTTTATTCCTTAACACTTCCTTCTTTTTTTAGATGGACACACTTAACTACACTTACCCTAAGCCACAGTTACCACACTCATAGCATCCTCTATACTGACAAAGCATGGCACATCGCCACGAGAAGCGGCCGCCCAAATTGAACAGGTAGAGCGGCAGACAAGGGATGAGAGGAGAGCCACGTGACGGACGCCCCGCTGCGGCGAGACGCCCAAACACACTTGTCCCGAGCGATGGAATGTCTGCTCGTGCTCCTCGCGTTGTGCGCTGACTACAAGCTCTCCGAGAAATACTTTGTGCTACCAGCTCCTAGCGCTCGAAATCTGCAACCGGGCACTCTATGGTTCCGTCGTCGAACTGCCAGGCTTTGTGATTATATAGAGGAGGCTATGCCACAGTGTACTCCGGGACAACGCTCGGCGGCTAGGCAGTCAAAGCCATGGTCGCACGTCCGCTTGCGAATCTTGAGCGCCCATCAAAGTGGTGCACGCGCACTGTTCACTTCTGAAATAGCTGTCCGAGAGTATAGGGAGTATTCACTGGCGGCCATATCTGTGTGCGCTAATACTGAGCGCGTGCTGACAGCGAGCTTCCATAGTTCTTTTGCAACGTGCATTCCGCACCATCAACAGTGTCGGTCTTAGCAGCCTATTGATGTGAGCTCGTTCTGAGCATGCGCTCTAAACAGCACCCACAAATATGGCGTCCAGTGAACACCCCCTATAGTGCAGTAATTGTGGTGAAGCGTAACTGAAGTCAAAGACGGCTTGGCTGCGGTTAAGAGTGCCCGTGTAATATACGTGCTACACAGGGCACCCTTAACCGCTGTTAAGTCACCTTTTATCGCTATTACGCGTCACCACAGTTACTACACTATACTCTCGTATACCTATTTCAGAAGAAATAGGTATATGGCATATGCATATGGCATTGATGGCTGTTCACGATGTGCAAGTGCGCGTGCTCCCATAGCTTCGACTGCATGGCCGCAGAACGTTGTCCAAGAGTGTCGTGTGGTAACCGTAGTGAAGCGTAAGAGCAGTTTCAGGTGACTTAACCTGCGGTAAAGGGTGACCGTGTAATACGCTTGTCACACGGGCACCCTTAACCATTGGTAGGTCACCTTTCATTGCTGTTACGCCTGATCCACATGATGCGAGTTTACTTGCGATTTCGCAATTGCAACGCCGCTTGTGCGACAAAGAAAAAAAAGAAAGAAAGAAAGCATGGGTGAAGCTTCGGTGCCCGACGTCGCAGTTGCGAATTCGCACGCAAAATCGAACCATGTGAATCGAGCTTTACGCGCCACCACAGTACACTACACTGTACTATCGGATAGATATTTTAGAGGTGAAGAGTGCGCCTGCACAGGCTCTGATGGGCGCTCAAGACGCTCGAGCGCACGTGCGCCCAAAGCTCTGACTGCATAGCCGCCGAATGTTGGCCGCAAGTACAGTGTGCTAACTTTGGTTGGGCGTAATGGTACTTACGTGCGCCCGTGTTACAAGGGTTTAACAAGGGTATCAAAATGTGTGCAGTAACTTGACGTCTCAGAAGCAGTGATTTTTTAGGGCTGGGCAATTGATGGATTACCCTACAAATCAATCAATTAATGATTTATTCGCGATTATTTTTTTAACCGGTTAATCGCTACAGGTTTGACAAACCAAAAGAAAGTAAAAATTAAACGCTTTCATCATGCAGAAGCGCAAGAGCACACCTGTATGAAGGAAACATTTGAGGTAAAATTTAACCTAAAGTAAACTATAGGGGCGAGATTTTGTACCTCCAGGCAAGTGCAGGGCGCCTTTGAACTGTTTTCAACCACACATCCAGGTAGATTCATAAACGAAATTCTATATTGCGCCGTTTATCACACATAAAACAAATATATATATAATTCTGACTTAAAAATATTATGCGTAGAAATAACCGAGACCAATAGACTGATTAATTAATCGATTAAAGGGTGGCGATAAATCGGGTTTAAAATGTTAACCGGCGCCCAGCCCTAATATAGATACACATACCTCGTTCTAGCGATTGTAAGAGTTCAGGATGTTTAAACTGTGTCCATACTGAAGGTGTGGACCGGTGTTTACGTTTTATTAATATGAAGATGATAACTTTTATAATAATATTAATAATAATTAATATTAATATTATTATTATTATTATTATTATTAAATTCCCAGAGACCACCTACTTTTTTTTAATTTGCTTTGTAATATTTCTTTTTTAAATTTCTGCTACATTGGATTAGCCCTACAAGTCCTTGAGGCCTTTGACTAACCAGCTGCGTTGTGCCCGTGGATATGGTCCTCATTTTAAAATAAACTAAAATTAATATTATTATTATTATAATTTGCTTTGCATAAAAGCAGTAGCGCCAGCCGCGTCTCATGCACACCCTTGTGTTATTGGCTGCAGTGGGCGTCAAGCTACATTTAAAGATGAAATAAATTGCACTACATTGTATTAGTGTACACTTTGAATGCAAAAATACTACAGAATCCGGGTAAAGGCAAGGTAAAAATAATTAAAAAGCGGCTTGACAGACCAGTAAGACACAGTTTAGTTAATAATTTATTGTCCCATACGAAATGTAACGCCAGTAAAACAAATCGCAATGCGGCAGCATGCGTAACTTACATTACTTAGCCACTTCTGTATAGTTCAATTTCCACCTGCTACCGCCATGGTGCTTTGCTTTAATAACGACGCCTCCCGCACAGCAGGTGAAACGATTAATTATACTATTTCACTGCTTATATCAAGCCGGTTCTTTTTTACTATTGTTATTCTTATTTTTCGAGTACTTTTTCAAAAAATAGCCACTCACCGTGCAGATATTTGGTGAACCCCGGTTTCGAAATGGATGTCATGTTTGAGGCGGCATTTTGTGAAATTGATAAACAGGTGGCGCGTTTTTTTTTTTTGTTTTTTTTTTTAATGGTATGTATGCATGATTTAATAGACGTGTAGCAAACACATGAAGCGCCGCCCGTGGCCTCGAAAGAAACGGCGGGAGCGGTATGTTTAGAACCGGTTGTAGCAGAGAGAGAAAGAAAAATGGGCGTTGAAGAAAGAATAAAGCGTTGGTTATTAATTATGCGCCTGTTCGGAGTCATGTTACCGTCCTTCAGAGGGCGGAGGTGGTGCCAGGACACACTTAAAAGTTCAGACTGCACTCCTACGTCTGTCCTGGCGCCAGAGAAAGGAGAGGACCTGCTCCCTCTCTCTCTCTCTCTCTCTTTCTTTTTTTCTCTCCCTTGGGTATCATGTGGTAGATGCTTCGGGGGCAAAGAGGACCGTAGACGGCTTTGCGCGCAGTAGTGCAGTTAAGAAAAAAAAAAGTTTATACTGAAAGGAATAATAATTGCAAAAATCAGGTACAGGTTAAGAGTTCAGGTTAAGTTCCTTCCACCCCTTTCCACTTTAGCAGAGCAAACGGTAAAGTGGACTCGACCACGCCTCCAGCGTTCGGTCTGCTAAAGTGGAAAGGGGTGGAGAAGGTTCCCCCAAATTCTTAACCTGTCCCCGACTACAGATGGGGGTCTGCAAAGCCAAGCTTCTGTTTAACAGAAATATGTAATGTCTCCAACATTTGATTCGCTTTTGAAAGTAAAACCCGCGCATTTAAACTGTTACTCAAATGATAATAATTGCAGTCGCTTTGAGATGAACGTGGATAAGTTGGCGAGCAAAGCGATGCTAGAAGACCATTAAAGGGGCACAAGTGTTACCAGCATTAGCTAATAAAGAGTTTTGGTAGATCGTTCCGATGAGTTCGTTAACGATACCCGATTCTCCGCCGCAGCGTTTGCGCTAGGATCGTATCGTTATCGGGGGTGTCAGAGGTATCGAAACGATCTACTAAAACTTTATATTAATATTTATGTTATTTATTACGTACTTCTTAGCAGACTCATATGGGTCTATAGAAGGGCGAGTGCGGGGTTATATCTTTTGATATGAGATATATACTTTTTTCCGGCAATGTTGTATTTGTAGCGTATAAGGGCGGAATGACATTTTGACTTGTAGTGAGGTAAAGGGGGGGGGGGGGAGAGAGAGAGAGAATCACATTCAACGCAAATGTCATGAGATTTAAAATGCTTTTAGGGTTCTTGTGTGGCAAGAACACGATTAATAGTGTGTAGGAGTCAGCGAACAAGCGCAATATTCTTGGAGGAAGCCGCGCAGTTTTTGAGCAGTTGCTTTTCTGACCTTTTCCTACGGAGTCTTGTAGCCGAATCCTTTTTAAAGGCCACGCTACTAAACACTTGAGGAAGTTTGAAATGTACGTGTGTGTTAACCGCCTCAACGTGCGCAACCTTCACGTCACTGAAGAATTACTACAGATGTGCTTCTACTTTATGAATGCGGCATTTGTCAGTACGAACAAGGCGCCTTTCATAATTAGGCGGTGATCTGCTTCTTAAGTTCTGTTAAGAAGTGCTACATAAGGAAGTTATATAATACAGCGGTAATCAGGCTTGACCCTTTTTGGGATCTGAAGAAACTACGACCTGATCGACGTGATGGTAACGGTTTATCAGAATGAGAACATGGCGCATGTCCCGCGCGTGACCCCGTTGCCCACTTCCTCGTCGTCCCGTGTCCGTTCTCCAACAACCCTAAAGCGTGTTTCACATGCAGCGATTTTGGCCCTAAAGCGACGCTCGTGCCACTGAATTGCTGGTGCTGGCCAGAGCGCCGCGACGGCAGAAATCGCGCCGCTCTAGGGCCAAAACCGCTGCATGTGAACTAGGCTTAACGCGGGAGCGCCCAAATTTCTCCGGCGAGCGCTCGAGTGGTGGCATTCACGGGAACTAATCCAGTCACGTAGTGCAACATGAAAAACCCTCTCGAGCGGTGTCCTGGCCCCTACAACGGGAACCGCCGACACACGCTACGCCACGCCAGCTTAAAAAACAGAACAGCAATTTTTTTTTCTAGAAAGTGACGTTATTGAGAAACCTCTGAGCTTAATTTATGTTTTCTATTGTTAAAGCTTTCTGACGATCGTGAAGAGGGCGATAGCACCCTCCCGTGTTCGGCGGCCCCAACGGTTCCGGATGGAGAGGGTAGGACACTCTTCGAGCGGGTTGTTCTATAGTTCCCCTTCGTGTGTCGTGACTATGGGTTAGTAGCCGCATAATGCCGCCAGTCGAGCACTTGCCGGAGAAAACCGCGCTCTCGTCCGCGTAATGGACAAATGTGATTGCGACTGCACATAGTAAAGTTGATAAAAAATCTATAGATTGTCATACAAATTACTGAAACCTACTACAGCCGTATAAATTATACACTGGGGCAAGTATAACTTAGATTACATTCTTTTAAAAATGATAGTTTTTATGACTATTCTGTGGTCCGCACTTACGTGCACATAATACAGAATGTATAAGGTGAGGTGGTAAAGCATAGTGGTTCGCAGTTGTCCGTTGAAAAGTAATAAATCTGCGACAAACGTACCACGTTATACACATATCGAGTTTTAGTAACGAATGAAATGACAAAAAAAAACAGTTGAAAAAATGCAAAAAACGCGTAATTTTTCAAAATCACTTTATAAATCCCCGACGAAATTAGGTTCAGTGAAAAGTAATCATATGCAAATTAATAATTAAACTTTGCTAACTTTTCAAATGTTCGGTATCACTTTAAGAATATCCGGGAATTTTTTTTCATTGCTCACCTCGCACGGAGATAGGCAAAACCAATGCATTGTGGAGAATTCGTCTGCTAGCAGAAAAGTGATCGCCAGGGGCGCTGCGATCACTTTTCGCCCGCGATCCGCTGGAGTTGCCAGTATTGGCTTACACGGTATTTGATTTGGCTTTACTGTGTTCGAAACGACTACCGTATCTACTCGAGTAATAGCCGCACTGTTTATGAAGATACCTGAAGGTTCGCTTTTCCGCGGAGCACACAGATTGCCAATCACCGCGATCGACAGCATGATTCCAGCGGTTTACAGGTCTTCGCGCGAAGATACCATCTGTGAAGATTGGATTTGTATGTGTTCTCGATCTAGTTATTCATTATGTTATTTATGCGCAACGGGATGATTGGCTGTATATGTGCTCTGCGGGAAAGTAGAAGCAAGGGCATTGTTCATGAATAGTGCGGCTATTGCTCGAGTAAATACGGTATTGAGGCTCAAACCGCCACCCAAGCCAACCCTTCTACACTCGAGATACAGGTCATATGCATATATTAGATGAATAACTCTAGATGTATGAAATAAATCTAAACACCACCCCTCCAAAAAACTCACACACAAAAAAAAAAATAAGCAATGGTATAGGTTCAACCGGTTGAGCGTACTTCGAGTTGCAGCGTGATTGTTTAGGCATTTTGTCGTCATGACGGCTAAGAGTACATTTTGTCAACATTTAATTTTCTGGTGTTCTTGCGCCCCCAACAGGACATGTTATTTCGACAGTGTTCCCGAAACTTGTAGAGCCGCGAAGTTCAACCGGGGAACTCACATTGATAATACACGCTGGTCTCGTACTTAAGTTGCGCAGAATTTCCGTCTTTGCGGATAACTTTCAAGTTACCACATATTCAGACAATTACAAGATTGTTGAACAGGTAAGTGATCGCCACATTTCAACTTTAACCGCATGTAAGAGACGTGCCTATTAAAATTTAACAGAAGGGTTTCTTTTAATAGTTTCAGTGACCAAAAAAAGTTATTTAATATGTTCTAGTCCAAGATCTAAATACGCAAATGTAATACTGAACAGGTACCTCGTAATTTTATGCATACTTTTTTTACAGTTACATGCAGGCATCAGTTAAAATAATCTAGAACTACGCTTGCTGAAGACATTAACTAATGGCTTAACATTGCTAGTTCTACCATTTGTGTAAATACAAATATATAAAAAAGAATTATAATTGCTAACAACTCTATGAACATATTTATGGTAGGACTGGGCATCAATTGAAAACAATTGACCCGCTTAATCAGCGCCCTTTAATCGATTAATCGGTCGCGTTAGTTACAAACATGATTGGTTCAAAAATGGCAAAAGAACATTTTTCCTTCTAGTTTTTTTTTTTTTTTTTTTTTTTTTGTTATCTACGCCGCGATGTGCATCTTCAGCTTTGGCTGCACATCTGTAGCTCTGTACAGCCGAAAGGTACTCACCTATTATTATTCAACCGGCGAAAGCTTTGCGTGACGATTTTTCTCATACTCTCCAACATGAGCGCCTTTCTTGCTTCTTCGCAATTATCCTCGCTGCACTAGAGAGGCGCACGAGAGACGTTGAACCAGGAGAGACATTCTACGTTTTACAACCGACACACTTCAGAGCCGAGGAAGCCCCACTATCGCCACTCCCTTTCGATGTTCGTCCCGTCAGCTGTGGAAGGATAGAGAGGCACACCCAGAACTCCTCCGTTGGCATCGCCATTGAGCTGCACGGTGCGCGCCTGGACCATTGTGAAAGTTGGTTGCTTTTGCAGGACTGACAAGTGCACTGGTACTTCCCCGACAGATTGTAAAAAATGTGTTTCCAGTTGTAGCCTTTATCACTTATAAGTGGCGGTCGTCGATGCCAGAGGAGCGAGGAAAAAAACCCAAAACCCAGGCAGATATGCCATCTGACTAGGTGCGCACACAAGTTAATCAAAGTGAAACTGCTGGACTTTGTGCCTCTTGGGGAATCTCCGCCTTCACGCTGGAACCAGCCCTGGATTAATGGGTCACTGACATCCCAATGGTCATAATTTTTTGTTGTCTAAAACGATGCAAGTTGTAGTCATAGACGCCCAAAAAAAACGCCACAAAGCGAGAAAAAAAATGTCCCCAAAAATAAAAAGGCGTATACGCCTTTTTATTTTTGGTGTTTTTGTTCTCCCCCGTCTTATTTCCTCACTTCTTTTTATTTGTGAAGTAATCGATCGAGAAATTTAGAAGCTTTGTAATCGACATTTCTATAATGCTTAACGGCATTCATAAAACATTCTTTTTTAGTAATTGCATACGCACTATGGATTTTCATTTTGAAATTCCAAAAATCGGAGTCCGGACTCGCCTCCTGGCTTCTTGTCCTCCGTCGGAAAACATGGCGGTGCCGCAGCGCTCGGCATATGTAACACTAGGGATGATCAGTGATTCGGGGAATCGGGCGAAGTTCTCTTTTTTAGGTGCCCGACGACCTGTCAGACTTCGAAAGGGAAATCGTCAAACGGCCCAAACAACTAGGGTTTGAGTCTGTGTACCGCGTAGAGTCGGTTGTGGCTCCTTCGGGGCAGTCTTTCACGCAGAACCGGAGCGACGTCGCCCCTCACATCACCCACAAAAGTCCACTGCGCACTCCCTTCGACCCCAGACCGGGCCCTAAAAGAACTTCAAACTCGAAAGTGAGGCATCGTTTGCTCACAGCGATGGGCGTTTTGCGCGGTGAAGAGCGGTCGATCGCGGGTCACGGGAGAACGCGGCACTTCATGTCGGGGCATTTCCGAGGCGTGAGAGAATCTCGAGTTGCAGGACGACTCAATCTTTGACGCCACTGCACTGGTGCGAATAGCGCGGGAACTTCGAATTCAGCTTTTGAAAGTTTTCTTTTACTTCACAAATATTGAGTTCCCAACTTTTGAATTTCGAGGGTAATGTCCAGGCATCGTTTTCAATCCCTTCGGATAATAAAAAAAAAATGACATATAGCTGGCATTGCCCCTTTAAAGGCCTACCTGAAAAATCGTCTGCTGTCGGGAAGAAAACCGGTTCTCAGTTTCCTTCTCTGCGCACACTGCCCTTTTCCCCACATTAACGGCTCTCTGAGCTACTCCCCATTAAAAGAAAGACGGTCTCCCTCTTGCTCGTGTGGAAAGGGGGAATGGAAGGTGAGTTTCCTCCTTTCTGGCTGCTGCATGGTCGTCATTTTAACAATGATTAAAGGTGTTGTTATTTTTGAGTTTCCCGCTTAATATCAGGAGGGTGTTTGCCTTTTAGGGAACGAAAACATGGCAATGAAAACACACGTAATTTTTTTCTTGGCTTGCCCGGTTACAAGTTCAACCGACTATTATAACCAGTTGAAATTTAATCACGATTAAAGCATTAATAGATTAATCGGAAGGTTTATGGGAGTTTGCTTCTCAAAACAGTTTCAGGCACACTAAAGCAAAATAAAAATGTAATAGACAAATATATGATTTTCTACTAAGATGTATATCGCATCACTTTTCGCTTATTATTCCGCAATGAAGGAATTATACGTTTATACGACTGTTTTGGTTGTTCCTTCAGAATTCCGCAAAACTCCAAAGAGAATTGTACCACGATCCAGAACATGAAGCTGCCCTCGTAATTGAATTTATAGATGACGGCATACAGGTGGTAAGCTCTAACGACTGTCTCCAGTCATCAATTTAGATGACGGAAATACGCTGAAATTTTGACAAATTCGCAAACTGCGAACCTGTTGTACCTCATTTATTTATGATACTTTTGACTAAATTTTATTAAAGTTAAAAATAAAAGTATAGCACCGGCCGGGTGATCCTTTCTCAGTGCCAAAATCGGCGGTCAAAGGTCAGAATTAGTTTTGTCTGTGAAAAATCAAAGCACAAGCTCACACAAATCGGCCAGCGTAATAAATTACACTCATGTGTAAATGCAACTACAATCGACAGATGCCTCATGCCACAAGTTGACAATAAAAAGTCACCATTCGAAGCCGATAAAGATGAAATCATGAGGAAACATTATATACGTGCACATTTTGCCTGTTTATGTCAATACTGGAACTCTTCTCTAATAAATAGAAATATATATTGAAGCTTGAGAAACTTCTTGTGATGTGATTTATATCCAGTATATTCCAACTTCTTGTATGATATGCATGGTTTCACGCTTGATACGTTAGAAACGTAGATTATCGTTTGATGCGTGAACGTTTTTATTGATCCTCGTTTGGCACTAAAACTTGTGTGAACATCTGTTATACCCGAATACATGCAAGTGTTTTCGTTCTAACGTAAAAGAGCCTCAGAAACCTTAATTTTTACTAAATGGCGAGCACCCATCTCGTTCCAAAGATAGGAATTTTATTGCGGGATATTATACAAAAAACCCCAAGGCAGTCGGATAAACTAATTATTCTAACCTAGTCTTGAAAAATTAGCTTTCTTTGAGTATGCATGATGTTCAGGCAAAAAGCCTCGTATAATACGCAATCGATTGGTGACCACTGCTGCTTTCGCCTTGATATCCTAGGGAGATATTACTATGGGGATAATCATTGGCTGTATTTAGTATACTGTTGGAGCCGAAACCCTCGTACGAGAATAGTGCCTTTTAAAAATCTGTCGGTCAATTTTATCTGTGAAATATTTTCAATGTATTATTAAGGTTTTTAATGTTTGCAGATTGGAATCCTGGGAGACACACTGCGTGTGAGGCCCTCGTCTATGGCAGAGAGAAACTTGGACGGCCATGTGGCACACGAACTATTTGAAATACCAGTACGGAGTGCTCAATGTACGCCAGACGTTGCTTCTTTTATTTTATATTGATTTTGAAGAATGCATTGTACGAGAGATACCACATACATAATAAGGGCGTCGAGCGTGAAACCCAAACCACAAGTGTTTTTCAAATGTCATTGTGATCGAAGGCAGGTAATGAATGGGCGAAGGGCGCGTGCCGAAGGAAAGCGCAGAATGGGGAACTGGCGCTGATATGTCGCTCGCATGTACTAGATTTCACTATACATCGTCTCACCTCAGGTCCAATAGCACCCACCGCAACAAGCTAATGGGGTCAATTAACCAGTGAGACAAATTCAGTGCCTCGGCATTGTTCATCTTTATAGGTGTGCTATCGTCGGCTAAACTAATCCACCGCAGTGGATGGACACTGACCTAGCGCTTTTAGTATTTGTGTGTGTACTTGTATGTGGTATCAGAAGTATGGTGAAACGATGTATACATGCCGACTAAAATGTCAGTGTGCCACGCACACGAATCTCGGAAGTATAAAAGCTTCCGGATGTTGCCAAAATTTGTTTTTAAATCGACATTACGTATTCTGCAAAATGAATATTGGTTCAAGGATAGCATCAATAGAATATTTGTCTTTCAGTGCTTCATTTGATACGCCAACTCTATTTGCTTGTGTTTTTAATCCTATTAAACCGAATATAGGTGCAATGAAAACTACATACAATATCCGATTTTCGGATTGCGAGATCAAATAAGATGTGAGACATAATGTCGAAAAGTATAGAAAAGGACCAAACGGTCAAAGAATTCCCTCTGACTATAAGAATATTTCTGTTACCTTTCGTAATGCATTCTTGTAAACTAAGCAGCACCCTCCCATTGCCGAGTTATATGGCGCTTTACTCCTAATAAATTATAAATTTTTCACCCATAAAATACCGTGGAAGCTAAGTGCCCGATTTGACCGGACAAGCGCCCATGTCTAGATTAACCCCTTTTGCAGTGAAAGTGAAGTGGGCGTTCCCTGGTATTTTATGATATATAATAACTATACTGATTGAACTAAACAAATTAAAAAATACAGGTGAGCTTACTTTGTTCCAGATGGACAAAAGCAGGTCTGTGGAAGTGGTAAACTGCGATTATTACCTATCTAAACCGATTTGTTTTTTTTTTTTCAAATTTTATTTGTTGCATAACGCTCAGCCACCGACACAGCTAGGATTGTACACTATTCTGGATTCAATTATAAGCGGGATACAAGGATAATTGATGCCAAATATTATATAACTTAAAATGGTAGAAAATGTTTTTTTATAATGTCGAATCATCACGAAGACTACTTTCTATCGATTTAGCTATCTGTGCAGTGACAAAACCATGGTCATGAAAATGATATTTGATGCCAAAAATAGTCACCCAGTCGCCTTGCTATATACTTTTAATTCAGTTATAAAGACGGGTACTAAGCAAAACGTAGTATCATCACCAAATAACGGGAGACCTATACTTCCTTCAGCATGTATGATGAACAAAAAGTAAATTATATCACGTAAACTTCATTCGCAGAAAACGTGTTTGATACATATGTTCACCTTTTGACAGACGACAATCCCGATAAAGCCGCGTTTCAAACTCGCCATTTGAATGGAATCTTGGAATCTCGGATGGCTGCTAAGTCGCGCAAAGGTAAATGACCAACTGCAAGCTTCATTCATCAAATTTTGTATTGTATCCGACAAATAAAAAAACATTAAATCGCAACCCAATTGCGGGTGTACTTTAGAATTCACAAACATGGCTTATGCTCATAGGGCATGAATACTAAATCAAACGGTAATTGTGGTTTTAGCTTTATTACTAGAGTCATAATTACTATCGGTTCTTTACTGAAACACATTTCGTGCTGATATGTAGGGCTGCTAAAATTCGCCAAGACCAGTGTTCACCTCATCTTTGCAGCTACGGCTTTCTTTTTTTCTCGGGATTAGTACACGGCCTAAATAAATAAATTATAATAATAAAAACTTATGGAGCTTTCAGTACTGCGCTTTAAGAAAAGACTCTGCGTCTAATTACCCGCAAAACACTCAAAGAGCCAATCTCTGTCGAAATCTGCTCAGCGATTGATGAGGCGGACCGTCCAATTAGACCTCAAAATGAAGCCTGCGCTGTGGCATTGCAATGCAAAGTTTCATGCTTGCAATGCGTAATGCCACAGCGCAGACTTCATTTTGGGGTCTAAAGGGATGTTCCGCCTCATCAATCGCTGAGCAGATTTCGTATATTGCAGAGATTGTCTCTTCCAGTGTTTTGCGGGTAAGTTGACGCGCAAGGATTTCTTAGAGTGCATTTTATTATAATACGTAGAAGAATAACGCTGTATATGCAACGTGTAAATAAATATGCATTGTTTAATTTCCAAAACGCAGCAAATGATTTTACTTCACGTCACATTTATCAAATCGCTTTTTTTACATTATATTTTTTTGTGATATATAATACTTCGTTTTTTCCTGAGGCCACAGTGCAGCCGGCGCTACGTAAAAATTGGGCTAACTAAGCATTGCTGACGCGCAACGTCACGGCATTCATATTGTTCGGTGTGTGTCATATTACCACATAATCGAATCAATCTCAACGTATGTCCGTGAATTCGGTAATTTAGCCTGTAGGTTGGTGTTCTTGTCCGTTGGCTGCGTTTTGGCGTATAGCAAAAAGAGTTTATGAGATTCAGCCAAAAGTTTTTTTATCTTTTTTTATAGAAAATTCAAAGCAATCGAAAGAGGGCAAGGAACGCTTGGGAGCATAAAATATAAGTTAATAGAACTTGAAAGCTTCGCCTCTCTAAACAAGATACTACGAATATGACGCGTTTTTTGTGTTGGTATAAATATTCTTTTCCATCAATTTGTCTCCAAATTTTAATGGCAATCATTGTGGAAACTCGCGGTTGAGGCTTGACAGAAGATATATGTTGGGTTAATTTTGGTTCCTTATTTCGCGAAGTACACGATTACCTTAAGGTGGAGTTTGAGTGTGTTGTCTCTTTGTTTCATCCGATATACGCAGTAATAATTTCTCGGGCACACTCAATACATTTCTAAAACTTGCATGCGTTATCTTGTTTTGTATATCCTTTCTGTGTTAATTGTATGCCTTTTCCAGAACTATTGACAATAACCCCAGAGGTGCATATTATGGTCGACACCACACATTCCTCCCAGTTCGACAGTCAGAACAGAACGATAGATTATCTCGCTGTATTTTTCGCATTTGTGAGTATCAACCTAGTGCTTACTTTGAAAACCTCTTTAAAAAAAGTTGCTTAAACACCTGCTTCTGTTAAAAAAAAAAAACTCCTATAGTTCATATGATCACAGTGGCATCGAAGTCTTAGAAATTAAATTCAAAGGAATGCTTAAACTAGAAATATTTACACTAAATTCCTGGTTATGTTAAAGAAGTCTTAGTGATCTGCAGGAGCGCCCCTTGATAGTGAATGGCAACACTTGCATCCTTGTAAAGCGATATCTTGTCGCGTTTCCCATGCGGATATTGGTTTATCTCGAAAACTCTTTTTCCAGAGCATAAATTTAATGAAAGGCAGCATTGCAATCATTAAATTTTGTTTACCTGTCAGCAAATCAACCATCTTTACACCATTACGCGGTATAAATAAAGGTAGCGTAAGGGCGATACATAGTTCAAAATATTCCTCGTCGCCGGCACCATTTCTCCAAAATAGCTGAGTATAACCGAAGGAAAGGAAGGCTAAGTGAGGAAAAGTTAATGAAGAGGAGAATCTCGTTACTGGTATATACACAGGGGGAGCCAACTGGAAACCTTAAATTATTTTTGTTTGAACTTTATTTAACAAAGGTGGTACATATCTACACAGTTTTACAAAAAAAAGTCCCCATTCCGCTCAATAAAAGTTTTCTAGTGCTTAATCAGTGTGTTAATTCCTATATATAAAAATATTTCGGTCACTTGGGAAGTCACTCATGCAGCACCAGTTGCCCCACTTTATAAGATCATAAACGTGCTCCCCTTATCGCCTCCATAAGTGACACAAAAGATGCAGCAGTCTCATGAGGTGAGCATCAGTGCCAATGCTAACAAGTGCTGTTATTTATCTATTGTTACTCAGCGATGTTTTATTACTATATGGCTTTAACTGCGGCAATGAACTTTGATGTCACCACTCCGTAAGCCTGACGAGTCGAGGAAAGTTTGTCATATAACTCCCTCGGCTTGGGAAGCTCCTTGACCATTCGGACACTAGAATGACAAATATACATAGCACACTGCAAGTGAGGCGGTATCATTTGCGCTGCTTATTTGACTCTATGCTTGTTGTCTGCACTGTTGTACTGTGAGGAGATCTGCTGGACATACCTTTAATTACTGGTAAAAATGTTGCCAGTTTACAAAACCATGGCACCATATTTTGAAATATCACTACCACATTTTTAAAATTTTCGTTTGACATTCACTCGAATATCGCTTTAGAAATGAAGACTGAATGGTTAATGCGATGTAATATTTCTTTGTTTTTGTCTTTTTAAGTTTAGTGAGTGTTACCATTACAATTGTATGCATTTTAAGGCCTCCCGGATACCTATCTATGTGAACTTTCTTTGTCGTGTCCGGAAACGGGCCATGCTTTGGCTTCTTGTGCGCGCACTTTTATTGAGCGTGAACGCTTAATTCTCCAACAATAAATCTTAAGTTCGACGTTGCTTTCCAAGGTAAACATGAAATTCAAGACACTCTCAAGGAGTAAACTGGATGTACAGCTCGTGTTATCACGACTCACAATCTTTAGGGTATGTAAGTCTGTTATAACTTGTTTTTGCAAAAACCCTTATCTTAAAAGCAACATTTGCATTTTATTGTGTAAATTAAAAAATATCTCGCTTGCAATATTACATTTTACTGATAATAATAGGCATTTTAGTCATGTAGTAGACTGATATTGCGTTAATTCTATTATATAATCAAATAGAACCCCTTCTTTAGCTCTAAGATAAAATTGTATAATCAGAATTGGCGCGTCCATCATTTAATGAAACATCTAAACAAACGAAGCGAACACATCAACTAATGTTAAGTTTAAAAATGGCTGTGGTCACTACAACTATGGTAATATGTTTACATCGCTCTACTTTGCAAAAATATGTCCCGCAGATCTAGGTCTTTCATAACTCATAGATGACGCATGTATATTAAAGTTGTCACCCGAAGGCTGTGCAAACTCTCGTTGTCTGCTGAAAAACAAAACGGAATACTTAAGGTGACACTTTTAGGAACGACAGGCGCGAATATACGCGGGCTTATTTCTTTCGAAATCAAGTGAGAAGGACACTAAATGTTAACGTGGAGAATTATACCTCTGAAAAATAAACACACACGTAATCATCGGGCATAAGCATAAATATTACCACAAACTCTAAGATATAGAGAAACTCCAAGTCGAAATTAACCTTGCTGTGTGTTCGTGTTATATTCCTGTTTATTATATGCACGAGGATAATAAATGCACAAGTCAGCTATCTATTGATGTATTGTGTGCTGTTTAACATAATTTTTCACGCTGTCTCCGGTTGCAGAACGGAAATGAAAGCTTTGTACAAAAGCCCGATGACCGCCAAGACATTATGCTCATGCGAACCTTGGAAACATTGAAATATTTCGTTGGAAACAATACACAGAATTTTAGAAAGGATGACTTGGTAGTACTACTAACAGGGTACGCCTGCATGTAAATACCTTAATATGAACATATCGTACGGACTTCCGCAATCAGTACATAACGGACGCCATGACTAATTCATGAAGCTCCTTCCATAAACTGCACTTAATCTTTATTTACTCCTACATTTCATTCGTCGTTAAAAAAGCTGGAGTAATTCTGGCAGAATTACTACAGACTCAGAACAATAATGCTCGTGACAGTCGTCGACAAAATAATACTCCCTGTACAAGAAACAGAGGTCAGCATTTTTGGTTCAACTCACTCAATCACAGCTAGCTCAAAATAAAAAAACTCAAAACTCACTAGCCTTCACCCTACGGCCGCAGTCACCTTCAAGTCCTCACTCACGAGCTCGTGCACTCATGGACTCACCACACTCATGAACTCACGCGCCTTATTAAACTTATAAACATACCAAACTCACGCCTCTCACCGAACTCATCAACTCGTCAACTCACCGAACTCATGAACTCACCAAACTCATGAACTCATCGAACTCACCCAACTCGAAAACTCACCGTACTCACCAACTCACACCCCTCACCGAACTCGCAAACTCACAAACTCACGCCGCTCATCGAACTCATGAACTCACATACTCACCGACTTAATTCACTCACTCAGAAGTAGTCCTCTCCCTCACCATAGTTGCGGCGCTGGCGCTCGTGTTGTGCGCGGGTTGTGCGCATTTTACAACCCCCCCCCCCCCCCCCCCCCCCCACGATCGTTGCCGTCCTCCGCCGCTCCGGCTCCAGCCGTCACGTCGCCAAGAATATTACTATTTTGTATTTTTGTTTCTTTCGCTTCGACCCCTTCCGGTGACCGGCGGAGCGATTGAAGAAGGCGCGCTTTGAGTCTCGCGAAGAAGTATTCTTTATGGTGTGTACCCTCCGTTTTGAGCATTCGCGGCACCTTCGCGCAAATATGGAGTAAGCGTCTGGATCGCTGCTTATTTAGGTTCGAATTATTACTAATCAAACATGCACCCCCGTGGGTGTGTATTTTGTTCCTGCATAGAATATTGCGAACTTCTCCTTAATTGTCGGACGGTATTTGTCGTCAGTCACACGTATTATTTCACCGAAAATAACTGCCTGGTGGGTATATTCTTTCCTTAAATGGGGGGGGGGGGGGGGGCTGGGAAGGGGGCGGTCATGCAATTTCTTAAATGGTATACAAATCTTCAAAGATTGTTTTGTTTGAAACAAAAAATTGGGCCACTTAATTTTTGGAGGGCGGGAAGGTTGCTATCATGCACACACGAAAATGCAAGCATATAGAATATTGTTTTTTATAATTACTTAGGTGCTTGTTCTTGCCCCTCCCCTGTTATTTCCTCGAATAGTTGCTAAAAAGAAAAATGGCCCGCCTCATAACCGGGACGTGCGCCGGCGTGAGGTGTGTATGTTGTTAAATAAAAATATATAAAAATAATAACTAATAGTAAATACTATTGTACCTAGTGAGAAAACTCTTTCTCCGGCACGCCAAGCGTTTTCGAGTGCTGCCAGTATTCCGACTATCCCCAATGCCAGTACTCCGACTATCCTCTTAAACAACTAACGGGGTGTCGGACAGCCGGATAGCAATGTCACGATTTTTTATCACCATTATTAAGCGAAAGCAAACATATTGTTTTATGTCTCTTTAAATTGTATTCTAGAAACGTATCGTCTGTAATTATTTAATGACAATCAACTCTAGAATAAACTTTTATATGGTACAAAATAAATGGAGCAGCATTTAAAACGAACTGCGATAAAGTCCGGCGTTTCGGGCGTACTCGAGCACGAATGTTTCCAGGCGTACATTTGTTTACAGAACTCCAGGCTAGGGATTTAACCAACAAGTATGCAGGCCAATCGTGACAGTTCCCAGCCGTCTTTCATTTTATTATTGGCTTCGGAATTAGCGGCTGTACCTATAGGCGAGCGCACTCGAAATAGCAACTTCTGCCTTCAAGCGCAAAGGCGTAGCACTCGTTTTCCTCCCTCAATAAACAACAAAACGTCGCGCGTATATCGGTGCCTATCACTCTGTACGGCAGCGGCCGAGGCAAGCATTAAATTCCTGCCCCCTTTCTCGTTACCCGCGCCACGAAGCAGCGACCAGCGGCGAAAAACCACGCCAAGCCTCGAGAAGTGAGCCGGAGCCAAAGAGCGGAGATAAATGCAGCGGCGCTCTCACCTCCTTTCCCACCACTGGTAGAAAACCAGCTCTGTAAGAGCTAACGGCGCCATTGTGAAACGACAGTCCACTCAGCTTCCCCGGAAATGTACGGAGAACTCACACAGCCCGCCCTTCATCGACGTCACCCTGCAAACGGACATCGAACCTATGCACCCTCGGGACCTCATGCCCCGCCAAACTCATGAACTCACCAACTTCGTGAACTCACGTCCCTCACCGAACTCATGAACTCACCGAAGCCATGAACTCATCGAACTCATGAATTCACCAAGCTCATGAACTCACCGAACTCCTGAATTCACCGAACTCCTGAATTCACCGAACTTATAAACTCACCGACCTCATGAATTCACGCTCCTCACCGAACTCATGAACTCACCGGAGTCACGAACTCACGCCTCTTACCGAACTCATGAACTCATCAAACTCACGCCCATCCCTCTACCTTAAACTCGTGGATTTCGAACCTTACAGACTTACTCACCCTCACGTCACGCCTGATCGGTGAGAGTGAGTGAGGTGAGTGAGTGCACTCATGAGGTGAGTTTTGCCGAGGCATAGCAAGAAAAAAGCACTGTCTTCTCAAAAGTAGGCCTGTTTACAATTCTTATATATGCAATGCGTCGCTCGAATTTTCACTTGTTATTTTAACCCGCATTATCTAACGGGTTAAAAATAACATGTATATTGCAGGTTAACAAATCTTAAATTTATGATGACACTCCATTCTAATAGAAAAGATCGAAAATAGTTTTGAGAAATATTTCCAATCCTGTCGTTTATATATTGACTTCAAAGTTATTAAAAAACAAAGTGCGTTTTAGATTGAACCAAATATTCATTTTATAGTTACTGACAAATAAATATTAACACTAAAAGTAGAAATGGCAAAATTACTTTCCCATTGTAATTAAATCACACAACAAACTACTTTCCTGAAACCTGCAAAAATGTACTTAAATTAGATTAGAAATTAGAGCAGGCTAATGTAATGTCATTACGCTGCAATTATTTTCTTAATGTAAACCAGTTTGCTTGACATTACTTTTCAATACATTGATGCAGCAATTCCTGCTCGTTTTATTTACAGTATATATACTAGAATTCATACCTTTCTGTTTGCCCCACAAAACCCTCATGCGCCTCACAGTTAATTATACTGAAGAGTCATTCCGCTTGCGCACACGACTTAAGTGTTAAACATGGTGAATGGCCTCCTCTTTAAATGCGACTCAAATACAGCTGGTTCATCTGTTTCATTGTTCATCCAACGGTGTAGATCCTTAGTGAAAGGGGAATGGGATTCCGTCTTTCCGATTTCGGGAAAGTTATAGTCCGTGTCAATAACTAAACTTAACTCATTGGAGCTGGTTGTAACAAGGAGTCGTCATATAAAACGTTTCCCTTTGGACTCGCACGCAGTCAAATCCTTTTCCCCCAAGGACGCCAGTTGAGGCATTTCCGGGCATTCCTCTCGAGAATCGTTCCCAAACACCCGAAGAGTCAAAGTTATTGCGCGTTGTCACACAAGGGGGCTGTCTGTTTGCTGGGCTGAAACGTCTCCAGTTGAAGAAATAGATGCCGCGAGCTTTCAAAATGTGTACTTTCCCAACAAACGGGTGGTGATATTTGCTCGTTTACTTATTGCTGAATAAAGACCCCAAGAAAAATAAGAGATGCGTAGCCCGAGCGGACCCTGTTTAGCTTGCTTCCCGTCTTGTCCGACTACAGGAAACCTCTTTACTTGCATAGGCCAAGGGTACGCACGAAGCATTTTGGGGCCTCGACAAGGCATTTGGGATTAACTATTTATATAAAGACGTCTATCTTTTGCCGCGTAACCACTCTGTTATTGATACCCGCGCGCAAAGAAGGGGTAAGGTGATGAATTTAAAGTGGATAATTGCTTCCAGTGAGCTCGTAGCTCCTACCGCTCTGTCAGTTTAAGGGGGAAGGAAGTATAGTGCCGGTCGCAATCACTTGGCGCCGTGGATCTGTCTTGTCTGGTGTTCGTGAACCGTGGTCTTCCAGCAATGCCTTCACATAGAAGCTTTTCTCGTTGTTCGCATTTCAAGCCCGCCTTTGTGCGTCTGTCTAGTTTCTCGTACGAGGCTTTGCGCGAGGACAGACGCTGTTCATTTGCTCTGATGTCTCCGGACATTTCAGCATCCAACATATTTTTTTCTTTTATTTCCCTACATCTTGCAAACGAAGTGACACAAATGGGACGAAAGTAATTTTAGAAGTAATGAGCAATGTTCTTGAAATTACAAACTTAAATAATTAAATAGATTAATAAATTACCAGCATGGGAAATTGATTCATTGTATAACTCATTACCACAAAAGTGATCAAATTATAGTAAATTTTATTGAATTAATGTAATTACCACCATCTCTGCGTATATGCTTGTTTTTGTTTCCTACATCACTTCGGAAGTGAGATATTTTGCGAGCGAATTATCGATCTTTATATTTCATACGCTTTTCAGATGCGACCTTGCTCAGATGGATGATAAAGGAGAACTCTTCCTGGGAGTAACGGGTGAGTAACATTTGCTGCGATCGAACTCACCTGATTATAGCTGTTTCCTAGTTTAATTGTAATCTTAGAGAACACTTTCTTTTTGTACGAAGAGTGTTTGGATGTCATCTCCATCAAGTGTGACTGCTGCTGTCTTCATTGATGCGCTAGCAAAATACAAGTTTCACCGGGTTTTAATCGTTTTTATATTTTGCTGAGTAGGCCCAAATATTGATAAAAGAGATAATTAAACAAATACAAACTAACATAAAACATTTTCACGCGATCTGTTTTATTGTATGCCCAATGCACACAATAATAATTTAAAAAACGCAGCACCAGGCTTAGTTGTAGCAGCTTAATAACTACACTCACATGAGGACAATTTGCACTTGTATATGAAACACCGTTTTAATCAAAACTTATTTTTATAAAAAAAAATGCAAGTAGCATATTACTTTACAAAACGGGAGATTAACCTGATCTGATAAATTATAGAATAGTTTTTGCTTTCAAATTTTAATAACACCCTCGGGGTTTTCGAGATTCACTAATGGGGTAACTTGTTGCCACCACACCAACTTGATTTTCATAAAACAAATGGAGGGAACCAGCGAATTACTTCAGAGAAAAAATGTATTGTTACATATTTTGACGTCAAAGTCACTGCTGTAGCTGTCTTTGTGCTTTTGTTTTAGGATTTTGACTTAGCAATTGTCAACATTTTGCTTTAAAAAACTTTACTGTGGTGTTCGTGGACCGGTTTCATTGCATTTAAAGTCATGTTTCTGTAAGCGCAAACAAGTTGTCCAGATGAACAATGTTCAAATGCACAACTGTGATTTGTGGTGCGCGATAGAGCAGCATTTTAAGGTCACTACTCCTTACCTTTGTTCATAATGATGTAGAGATTCCCTCTGCAGCTAATGTTTTTGTATGGTATACGGATGATAATAAAGTGACTGACGGATGATAATAAAGTGACTGGATGGTAATAAAGTGACGTTTCTTTACGCTCCAGACGCGCCCACGTACTATTCGTTTTCCCCCGACCTTAACCAATGACGGCGCACGCTTTGCTGCTTCGTCATCGCGCGTTCCTTGCGTGTTCTCTATTTTGCCCATTGAATGGCGTGCCCCTTATTGTGTTGCGATGCGACAAGAACGAATTTTAGAACACTCGCTTCCGGTATACTCGAGGACAACTTTATGTGGCTCTTCAGGACTGGGGCTCTAATCTGGACACTTGGCGAAAAAGTCGGCGAGCAATCTGGCGGCTGTGATTGGTCGGCGCCGCACTTGACCTTAGCACCGGCCAATCATAGCCGTCAGATTTCTCGCCGTCTTTCTCGCCAAGTGTCCAGATTAGGGCCTCTGGAGAGCGCTGGGGCACAGCTTTGGCTGGACTTCAGGTCGCTCGAGCCCCCGTAGCTTTGACTGCATCGCCACAGAAAGTTGTCCATGAACACAGTAATGGTAACTATCCCGACTTTCTTGACTAGTAACAACCACATTTACTGCCTGTGGTGTGTTTGAGGCGCCAAACAGCTAGTGGAAAAGGTAGTAACGCCCAGAGAGAGGTAGTAACTGCTGCAGTTACTTTCAACTCCCCACATTAAAAAAAGTAAATTCGCAAAGCTAGGCATGTTGCAAAGGGCATAAAGTGATAACTTACATTAAAGTGATAATGTCCTAGTTTCCCGACTATAAAAGAAAGGTATTTCTCGAATATGCAGGTTTCGCCTACGTTGGAGGAGCTTGCAGCGCTGATAAAGTGGGCATCGTGGAAGACATGAATAAAATGTTCGACGGTGTGCATTCATTTGCACATGAAGTTGGACACCTGTAAGTAATGGCACACTAGAGTACTTGTTGTTCTGAGGGCGTATTGTCACATGTGAATATGTACTCTGTGAAACGAATAAAACCGTTGGCAGGGCTTAGCAATACTTAGTAGTATTATGCCCAGCCGATTTAAAAACAAAAATGAAAATTGTGTCATATACTAAATATATGTCTATTTTTTTAAATATATACACAATGACTGCTAGAAATCTAGAAGGTTCAACCGAGTTATCTATAGTTTTAAACTGGTAACATAATAAAAAGGCTGCTAGCGCCGGTTGTTTTTACTATGGCTTTAGGCATACGTGCAAAAAGTAAAACTTAAAAATGAGCACGTAAACAAACAAAAAATATCGATGTAGAAAGCTGAGCTAGTTGGCGGAAGTTAAACATGGTGTACATTTTGAAGAAGTCTGAGGAAACCTAAGCACTTCTTATGAGTTGTGGGTGCGAAAGCATGCCACCCGCGACGTATTGCGTCCGCCTCACGGTGTCGAAGAGCCTCCTCCTCTTGCCGCCTGAGACGCTTCGAATCGCGATCCGCTTGCGCCTCACGCTCTCGAAAGGCTTTGTTCTGTCTCCTAGCTCGTTGAGCCACTGCTCATTCCTCCCGCCGTGTCTTCGGGGACTTGACAGCAATGCCTGCCTCCTCGTTCGTTGTGCTGCGTTATTCCGCTCCCTCAGTTCGTCTGCGGTATACTTGCGTGGACGGGCAGGTTTCGCTGCCGCCGAGGTTGCGGCCGCCGACGATGTAGATGCTGAAGGCGCCGCCATGTTTGTCGGCGTCAAGAGGAGTAAAAGGTTCCGAGCGCGCGCCACCATGTTCCTTTTACCGGCGCGTTACCGGCGCGGGGCCCGCAGCGCCATGGGGTGGCGTTCCTTGAAACTATGGCGCGGGATAACCAATGGGAGCCTCGTTCCTTGAAACTATGAAGCGCGCTGGCCAATAAAATCCTATCCATCTAATCGCTTCTACACATGACAGGCTTCGCTCCATTGGGCCAACGGAATTTAGGTGCCGTTTGGCGCGCGGCTTTAAAACTTGATGACTGTGGTTTACTCCATGGGACAGTTAATGCCTTCGCATTAAAAATATTAAATACAACGTCATTGCAAAAAAATAATGGAATAAAGAAGGAACACCGCAAACACCTCACGCGTGTTTTTTTTTTTTTTTTTTTTTTTTTTTTTTTTGTCTATAGTCAAACGCGGTTCAGACACACTTGACAGAGTATAGTAAGTTTGTTCGACCTAGGTTGTTTGGGGATCGTACTGCCCGCGTGGAACGCTTCAAATGCATTCCTCGAGTGCAGTTGTACCACGTTTTTTGTCGGATTGTCACATCATTCTCGTGGAACATATACAAATTATAAACATATGCTGCACCATGCTTACGTGTTCAAGCACGCTGTCAGCTGGATGTTCAACATGGAGCGCACGCCAAAAAAAAAAAAAAATCAATCACGAGCGCTTACTTCTGTGAAACACGTGCAACCAAAATTTTAGACAAGTGTTGGAGCGTCTAGTATTACCAGCTTATACAGGGTGTTTCTTTTTTAAGCTTAACAGGTTTTTTTATGAAAAGCCGCGAAAGCTACGCTAATGCAGTTTCTGTAGCTGAGTTACAAGGCCAGGGGGACATATAATATGGGGCTAATCGTGACGATAAGTCGCTTAACTAAAAAGGTTAATTAACGTTTTAATTATTAAATAAATTGTTTTAAATTTAAACTTGCCAAACATCACCAAAAACACTAAATTAGTCAATATAAGAAATATTTGGAGCACATAGGAAGCACGGTGGAACTCTGAAGTTACTACTCGTGCGGCGCGAGCAAAACAACAGGCGCTGTAACGCGCCCACGCCGTTCTTTAGAGCACAGCTCTAATGGCCTGACCACACTAGCGGGAACAGTGCCGCCAATCGGCGCCGCTGGGCGGCACTGCCGTCCGGCGTCCCAACGTGAGGAGGCTACGTTGGCCTCGGTTTTGCAGCCGTCACGTGACAGCACTGGCTCTCACGATCGCGTCTCCCGTCGGATTTCCCGCTCTTTCGTCGTCTGCTCTTCGTTAGATTCTTACGCTTCGGCTCTCATCTTTCGCATATATCAGCATTGAACCCGCACTCGCTGCATACATGGTAGGTGTCCATGACGACCAGTTGATCAGCGTGAACGTGATTATCCTAGCCTGCTCGTCGTTGTTGCGACGTCGCCGCGCTCTTCGCTCCTCGTTCACCTTGCGGCCCATGGAATAAGCTTTGTTCGATGCGGAGCGTACCTCTTGTACGCCTTGCCGCCCCGCAACCTTTTTCAATATATGGGTCATCCCGTGAACATAGGGAGCAGCCATCACGTCGGGCGAAGCTTTAAAACACAAGTCTCGGCACTACATGAAGCTGGATATCTGAATACGCTCCTGGTAGCGATATATGAAAAGCTCTGCACAGCCATGAAGCAGAGTTTTGAGATCAATGATGGAGACAAAAAAAAAAGACTAGAAGGCCTATGGTGGTTGTGCCCTATGTTCACGGGATGACCCATATATTGAGAAAGGTTGCAGGGCGGCAAGGTTGACAAGTGGTATGCTCCGCACCGAACGAAGCTTATTCCATGTACCGTAAGATGAACCCGGAGCGAAGAATCAACAACGTAAAAGAAGTTAAACCACGCCCCGTGCGAGAAAGATGTTGTGTTCTGTTAACTTGCGGCGGAGTGTATATTTGGCAAAAATGGCAATGCAATAATGATCGCACGATACAGCACCTTCATCTGTAAAACACCTGTCATCAGGTGGGCATTTGCCTACCCATTGTCGTGCTTGCCAATGTTTCGCAAGGTTCTACGACGCGAACATCCTAGCACGAAACAAGACACAACTTGCACGTGAAATCCTTGAAGCGCTTACCATTGAAGACAAAGGCGACAATTTTGTTAGCGCACGTTTCCTCGCGCTCCAAGAAAAAATTTAAAAAATACCTTCCTTCGGGGAGTAAATCCCGGGGCAAATCAAGAAGAAAGAAAATATTAAAGAGGAACCGCTTTACACATTGGCGGTTCATAAATGAGAAAAAAAGATTAAAAAAAAAAAAACATCAACAACCGAGTTGTTAGTTTTGAGGCGTAGATGCTTTCTTTCTTCGTCGTGTGTATGTCTAGTTTCTTTTTCCGTAGTGTGTTGGTTATTTTCGTTCCGCTGGCCAGTTCTCTAAGTGTTCTTCACATCTTTGTAATATTTAAGAGGTTCTTTTTCAAGTTTTTCCCATGCGGAATCCATAAAATTTAATCATCCATTGTCCGAATTTTCTGTTTGAGAGTTATTCGCAATGAAGTTAATTGCGCGTGGCGCAAGCCAGTGGGAAGATTCATTTGGAGCAACGAAGATAGATATCGTTGGCTCCATTCAGCTACAGTGGCCTCCACTCTAAAAAATGTTTCAACTTGGACGTGTAAATAAATTACACGTTCTTTACGCATAGATTATTTTATGCATGCAATATATAAAACATTTGATCATATATCTGAGTGTGGAATACATTAATGCGTATAGATAATGCCATGTGACGTGACGTGACACCATTCAAACGTTTTCGCTGAAACAATATAACGTGACACATAAAATACATCCACTAAATTTAACAAAAAAAATTTATTCGAAATTTAGTGGAGAAGCCTTGCCGCTGAAGTCCGTGAATAAATTTATTGAGTGTGGCATTGTGATGCCACGGGACGTGATATCATAATGTCCCGGGACGCCATGACATCAGGTGACGCTTTAACGTTACACGACGCCATGCTTAGCGTGCTGTGTGATTGTATCTACTCTGTGTGCAGTAGTCTGTGCAGCACATTCGTTGTCGCCCGAGTCCATTTGCACTGTAGAAGAAGGCAAAGAAAATCAATCAATCAATCAATCAATTAATCCTTTATTTCACATCAGAAACTGATGTAGGCTGCAGCGGCAAAAAGTCAAGCGATTGACTTGACAAGGCCTCTGCAGCCTTACAATTGGCACACGGCGACACACTACACATCAGGTAATATTATTCAGTTTTCAACTTTTAACATTAACAACTCCGGCCGAAACTCAAAATGAAATAAATTACTGGTATTGCTGTAGTGGCACAAAATACGACCCCAGCCAAAATATTACGTCCGTGGGACGCCGCATTCTCAACTAATGCCGATAATAAAAACGCAACCCGCCGCCAGCCGCTGCACCTTAGCGGGCGGCCAGTGGGTTGCCGATCGCTAAAGCAACATTGGGCCGTGACGTCAGTATCTTTCTCTTTTTTTACTCCGGTCCGGGCATTGCGCGGAGTGCGCTCCTTTGAGCCACTATCACCGCTACTTCGGCTTGTGGTTGGCGTGTTTAGCCGTTGCTTTTATCTGTAGCCGCCCATGTAGCTCTGGTATAGCCTTTTGTTTATTTGCCTTCTGAGGACTCCAAGACTCTTTTTAGCGAGCAACTCGGTGCGCCCAAGACTGCCCAGCTGTTCCTCGAAAGATGCCGAGTGCAACTTGTATAGCACTGTGGGCTGCTGAAACAACCCACCGCACAACACGGAGGTGCTTTTTCACAAGTTTCCAACGCACCGGAAATTGGAGAAGGTGTGGGTGAACGCTGTTCCACGAGTGGACTTTGGACTTCGGCTTTCACGCGCCCGAGGAAAAAAGAAAAAAAAAAAAACGTGTACAGCCCAGCACACGTGTGTTCGGGCGCCGCGGCCCGCGCCGGAGAGCCTCAAAGCTTCGTGTCTGGGACTGACCCGCAGCGCGAAAGCGAGAGGGACCCCAGTACTGTACGTCACTGGCAGCGCGGCGTAGAGCAACGCCGCTCCATCCACGGAGCCCCGATGACGATGTAGGCCTAGCGACGGGTACGGAAGACCGCACACACGACGACAGCCGCCGAGTGAGGCACCGAACGAGTTCACTCGTTTTCCAGTCGCTAGCTTTTGGGTATACAAGCGACGTGTACGGCATAGCGCACGCACTGCGGCGGCCACCGAGTACGGCACCGTACGAGTTCACGGGTTTTCCAGTCGCTAGCTTTTGGGTATACGCACTAATGCTTGCTACATACGCTGGATAACTACCACGTATGCAGAATTTTTAAAAAAATCAGCTTACCTCCTATCTTTAGACGGCTAGCGCAACAGAGGTAGGTGCCGCTCGGCCTGCGAACTCGTTAAACGAGAACGACCTTGACGTCACGTTCACATAGCGGGTGATTTCCAGTGTTGCCGGGGCCTCGAGCGGCTAGTTTCGGTTTCGTTGACCGCGCCCCAAACAAAACTTTGAGGCGTCGATATCTTCAAAACTACGCACAGTAACGAGAAAAAAATTACGCCTTGCAATTCAGGGACGCTGATTGCACTAAAAACAGTCATAATCCCAAAATCGAAAGTTTGGACCGGAGTTGCCCTTTAAGCAAAAACAAGAGCAAGAAGAAGAGCATTAGTTAATCGCACTATCAAAGATAGCAAATAGATATATATATATATAAGCCACATGACGACATATTTAGGCGCATAATATATTTAGGCACCACGTAGCCATGATTTTGTTTCGGGGGGGGGGGGGGGGGGGGGAGGAGGAGGCCCACCCATTACAAAATGTTGTATGAGAGGGAGGGGGGAGGGGGGCCCCAGCAAAATGGAAGATTTCACGAAGGGGGGGGGGGGTGCCCGGGCCCCATGGGACCCCCCCCCCCCCCCCCCCAGGCTAGGTGCCTGATGACAGAACTAAGAAAAATAATCGTACTAGCTCAAGGATAACTGAAACAAACAGAACACACGACCCCACAATGCAAGCGAAATTTTAATGCAGGAAAAAAGTTCTAATTGTACTAAAATTGTGTTTCTCGATATTTCTCAAATTATGCTTCTGAAGTTTATTTAGAACAAAGGGAAGATGATACCTTAGCATTTGGAACCCGTAATCTGTACGATTTGTTGGTATTTTCCAATGCTCCCCTCACGGACATCCTATACCCAGATATTTAGTGTTAGGCTTGAAATATGTCCAAGGAAAGGCTCGTTAGAACGGAGGGCTGATCTATATCGCGTTAGTAGAGTATGCTCATATAGGTTAGGAACAGTTATTAGACGTAGTTCTTTAAATAATGGAGGTGTACGTGTATCGAAAGGTACATTGAGCAATTTACGAACAGCCTTTTTTTTCAAGACTGTGTAATTCGTTAGCATTTGACAGAGACTAAATTACAGTAGTTCAGATGGGGTTAAAAAAGGGGGAGTTGTTTAATTTATATCTAACTGTTATGCTTTCTTGTTTTATTATAACAATTTTAAATATTATAGTAAACAAACTGTTATTAAATGTCAATATATATATATATATATATATATATATATATATATATCTGCATACCAGCACATAACGACAACTGTCAAAAAGTGAAGCCTAACTTTGGCATTAGTTTGGCGATTTTGGCCCAAAAATGCCAAAGCTCTGCCGAACTACAAGGTAGTAAGCCTAACTCTGGCACATCTGTGGCGATTTTGGCCCGAATGTGCCAGGTGATAGCCGAACTATCAAAAAGTGAAGCCTAACTTTGGCATTAGTTTGGCGATTTTGGCCCAAAAATGCCAAAGATCTGCCGAACTAACGGGCAGTAACCCTAAATTTGGCATTTGTTAGGCGATTTAGGCCCGAAGATGCCAGATAATAACCGAACTACCCGGGAGCGAAGCCTAAGTTTGGCACTTGTTTGGCGAATTAGGGCTAAGATACCCAGACTGTTGCCAAGGGAGGTCAGGTTTGGCACTACTTTGGCTTCTTCGGGCTTTTTAATGCCCTAAACTGCCAGACGCAAGCCAAGTTTTGGCCCAGAACATGGTGCTGCCTGGGTATGGAGGTTAGAAGTTGCAATTTCAAACGTGCCCAAAAAGGTAAGCTGCTGATATGGATTTCAGCAAAGGAGGCATCAGGATGTGCCACCGCTCGGGAAATTGCACAAACCCAAACACGTCTTCGCGCGTTCTAAAACAAAAAAAAAATCGTAGAAGACGTATTATGCAGTTGGCAAGGATGCAAGCGCCGCAGCTCGAGCCAGCAGGATTCTGCCTTGTGTGCTTGAAATAGCTACATTGTTCTTTGGTGGAGGATTTCTAAGCGGAATTCAAGACATTCTGAACAAGGACAAGCCCATCATTGCAGACGTCGTTATTATAAATAATTCAAATAATTCGAAGTTTGAAAGACTTATTTTCGAGCCCTTCTTAGTCTGTTCGTCTCCTAACTCTATCAATTCCGGCGTTTCAGTAAAATAGTTACTGTCATGTCCAGTGCTGTAAGACTTCTAGATTCATCCGAGTATTAATTTAAAACAGGAAAGGCATATGAGCAAACATAAATATAATAAAATAATTACAGTTAAAGTTACCTGTCTTTTTATCATTATACGCGAGGTTGTTATCGACATCGGAACACTCTTGTTTTCGTGTTATGCATAATTCTGCTGTCTCTCACCGTAGTTCGTTGATTACGATGTAACTGATTATGCTGAGGCCTCAACGGGTCTTACTTTTATCTAATAAAAACCAGAAGCGCAAGTATGACAATCTGTATAATCAGTTTTTGAGCAAAGATTGACCATCCGATACATCGCTTTTGGGCCCACTGTAGCTTATCTTTCTCGTCCCAAAGTTCGTACAAAGAAGCTTCTACCTTCCTCTTTCTAAATGCCCTCTGTTTTTTGGAGTTTTCTACCTGGAAATGCCTGAACCTATAGTCTCCGACAGGCGACACCATTTCTTTTTTGAGAGTCGTGGATTGTATAAGCCAGCAATTCAACTTTATAAGGTTTGTGACATTTTTTAGTCAATCAAAGCTTTATTACATTGGCTTAACGGATGTCAGGTGACTACAAATATATTCGCCTCCTCAATAAGACATAAATTGAATTATTTTCCTCTGATTGTTTTAGACTTGGAATGGTTCACGACGAAGAAGATCCTCCTGAAGAACTGCCGGGGAGCCCTGGTGGTAAAGGATGCTATGCATCGGCGGGAAACATTATGTCTCCATCACAAACTTTAACAAGTAATCACAAATTCTCCGTATGTAGTGCCGAACAGATTCGAGTATTCGTAAAGTAAGTACTCATTCCACTCAGCACGCCATACGTTTGCTATAACACGACCGCTATGCACACACAATTTAATTTTTATGAGTCACCAAGAGGGTGAGAGGTTAGAACAGCTGCAAATTTTGCTTAAGGTACAAAACCCTCGCCAGGCTATCAAAAGTTTAGGTTTTGCAATTTCCGGGAAAAAAAAGGTCATCCTTGCGTGCTGCATGTCATAACTAATTCAGTTCGTTCACAATTACGTATGCAATTTCCAAAGCTCTGGGAGCTTGGCCTTTAGAAGAGTGATGCAGTCCCATTTAGCAAAAATAAGTACTGCACAAATAGGTTAATTGAAGCTCTTTAGACTGAAATTTGAAGGAAAATGCTTCAGGTCTGGAGAATGTTCTTGCGTCCACTGAAGCTACTGCTGAGCAAAATTACGCGTTTGGGAGCAACTAAGTTTTGAGAAACCTCGATGTACAGCGAATAAGGTACACCAGTTCATTAAATTAAGATATTTCTTTGGTTCCTCATTCTTAACGTTTATTAAGTTATTACCTCCAATTATTACTTTTCTCATTACGTAGCAGTCAAAAGCGGAAATGTCTTAAAAATCAGCGTCCAAGGCACACCTCTAATCTTCATGTAACTAAGATAACGACGGAGCAGGTTTCACCACAAGATTTCTGTGAAAGAAAGCACCCAGAACTTTCAAACGTTCGCTATCAAAAGGTAAATATATCGCATGATATAGCGTAAAGGTGCTAGTGAAACAATTCCCGGCATATGAACGGGCATGCAATTTTTTGCAGGAAATGTCTGAGGGTGGCTCGACATTCAGCATCAAGAAATGCCAGATTGTATGCCTAGATGAGTCAACGAATAATTTCGAAGTTCATGATGCTCCAGATAGTACTCCTTGTGATGACAATAGAGATATAAAGGTAATTTTTTTGGTAAACACATTTTACAGCGGTTGTAATCACAAAAATCCCTCACTGTATACTAGTCCTCATTCACATGAAAAACCATTCGTTCATTAATTTTCCTTTAAGCAGTTCAACCAATGAGTTAGGCAACCGGAATCCCGCCCCAATGGCCATGCACTCTGTGCAAAAGAATGGCTTCTCTCTCTGTCACCCAGAATAACTGCCCTTTCAGTCGCTTTTTATTTTTTTAAATGATGAGAGGAACTGATTGCAATTATCAACCATACAAACGCGATGCATATAAACTCCGCACTTCTGAGAGTGTATGCTCCCTTCTGCATTTATTGAAATTTTAATATAAAAATCGCAACACGTATTGTCAATTTAACAATAAAAACAAGGAGGCTGAAATTGTACATGTACTGATATTGTTTTGTTCGCAATGTAACAGAAAACGGAGGCGGCGGAAGTACATTTGTCAGAAATGCAGGATTATTAGGCCGCGTGTCAAATATTTGAAGCCTTTGTGTGAGATTCAATCTAAATTACTGGGCGGACCCGATGGTGCGCTGGCCGCTCTAAACGACCATATAAAATCGGTATCTTAAACTTATCATCCTACAATTTTCTACGGAGGTTCAAGTGGGTGGTGCGTTTCGGCATCAAAATTTTAAATAATGAACTTACCTGTAAAAAGTAAAAATAATAAGGTATTATGTCTACCTGCTGTGTCAGCCGGCACACGACGTACAGTCTCCAACAATATGAAAGACCCATTCGGCGATGCAGGTTGAAGCAGCTGCGCAGGGTTCCCTTTGGCTAGACCCATGTTGCTTGAGGTAAAAAAATTAATAAACGTCTGGTGGATGCTTACCCTAACCACAAAACGCACAACGCCAACGTGCGCTTAATAGCGCTGCATATACTGCCTCAATTATAGGTATTTCTTGCTCTTGGATACTGTACTTGTGATTTAAGCCGCCCACATTAGTGAGGCTTCAAACTGGGGAGAACATACAACACAGTGAGAAAGACTGACAAATTCTTAGTTCAGACTTTGTTTTCCCTCTTTTTTTTCTGTATTTTCCACTTGGTTTTATTTTTCTTTTAACCCAGTTTGAGTTTTTTTTTGTTTTTTTTTTATCATAATGAAAGAACATATGAGAGGACAGTGCTTCCTCAGATTCTTTTTTAAGATTTTTTCTCGCAAAAGCAATTTGCCTCGCCAAAAGAAAACAATCCTTTCGAATCAACATCGGCGTTCGCCTTTTCAGTTTTAGTTGAAAGTGCGTTATCTAGTCATTTGGATTAATAAAACGCATGGAATGAGCAGAAATGCGACAAAAAGACAGTATGTTGACTTTTGCGTATAGACTAGTGTACTTTGTTTAAAAACAAAAAAATAAGACGGGTTTACTATTTACCTTGAGCGCTTGAAACCGCTGGTATCGGTCATCGCCGTCGTATGGATCTCCTTTAACAATCTTTCTCGCGCGACTGACTTCTTCCCCCTCAAGCTCTAGTAGTTTGGTGCCGCGTGCGTCCGATAGTATTATATTAGCCTATGCCAAATTACAATCCGAAAAGCGGGCTATTTCGGCTATACGGACGCCGTTTGTGAACTCACCCTTTTGCTGGATGTTGTGCCAACAAAGCCTGTGTCATGTGCAGGCGGATAACGTAGGGTAGTCAAATACGTTCCTATTTTTCTTTGTTTCTCGGTTGGCTAAGTTCATTCCTTGCCATAAATAGCAGTGAGATACGTTAAGAAACTGATTTGCGGTTTCTTCAAAGGGTCCACCCGTCAAAGGGACAACTGCACAGCGTGGGCCCTTTGGCGGGCTGACTGAAGTAATAACTGAAATAAAAGGGCTCAAGTTGCTAGCTTCTCATTGATGACATATTTCCTTACAAAACATGTTGTAATAAACATTTCTGGCATCATTTAATTGTTGACCGAACTATTTACAGATTATCCGCGTAAAAAGGCTCACATTTTATTTAACTTTACCTAAACTCTTCCAGAGAAGCATCAGATATTAATAAATATGTTGCCCGCTTACAGGTTATTATTCCATTTTTATGTAAAGATACAAATAAATAAGACGAAGTAAAGACGACTCTTCGTGGTCTTGTTTCGTTCCAAAAAAATGGCCTTCAAGAACTGACTTACTTCAGTCCGCATTGCACATACTCTTTGTAATAGTTTAACTCACCTTTCAATGATAACGGTATACTCACTGTTCAGTAGAGTTATACTGCTTGACATTTTCGTATGTGACTACTGCTGGTTCTTGGATTTTGCAAGTAACATGCTATTTTCACCAACTGCTTTTCAGTATATAAACGTAGCATCTCTTGGTCGCATCATTAATTTGTATAATTTTTTTCAGATGTGCTTGAACAAACAGTGCACAATTCCAAAGAACATTACTACTTTCCCTAAGAAAACCTACTATACGAGCTCATAATTTGATGGCAGCGATCACTACATAAAAATATGCCACATGATCATACCTCACCCAAACATAAACATTCGCCTGTTTTCGTTCCTCACAATAAACGCTGGTCGAACTCGCTATTTATTGGCGAAAAACCAGAGATTAGAGCCCTTTCATGCTCAGTTGTCCCCTCCCAAGCTATACTAGAGTAAAAATTTGTGCATGAATTTGTAGTGCCATATTTTCAATGTCTATAAACATAAAAAAAATTGTATATAACATCTAAAATTGTAAATGCAAGTGAAGGGATGATATGACATAGGAAATTAAATGCAGTGATCTTCAATGTGCATTGGTACACAAGTTAAGAACCTGGGATATTAATACAATTCTGAAAAATGGATTATGGTGCATGTATCATGTTTGGTTTAGCGTGCCATAATTAAGTATTTCCTGAGAGAGCGTAACTTGAGGAAAGTATTAACATGAACAATAAAATAGGAGCGTGGGAATACTGGTTAAAATCGAATAGCGCGGTTTAATCGCTAGCTTCAACGCTGTTCAGAAAACCAGTTCTCGTAGCTTTTCATTGCATTGTGAAGGTTATGAATGATATGCAGCGCAATTTGATTCAAACCAGTATTACTACACCTAATGCAGTGAAAAGGAACATATAAAATAATCACGATTATAGATATTTAATGCTTAATAAACTAAGCGTCTTTGCTGCTAAACGTGTAATTATTTTAGTTATTACCCATATGCGTTCTTGTTATTGGCAAAACATTATGTTTCGGGCACACGTTACACATTCGTTATCAGCCGTTCTGTGCTTTTATAGTTGTGATTACAACATAGCTCTTCGCTGCCCTATTTTTAACCAATTCTGCGAGGTCAAAAATCAAAATTTATTTGAAGTAATTGTAACTATTGAAAGCAGGAACGTACCAGACAGGAATATGAAGATAAAAAATGTATGGTACTAAACGAATCCAGCTGGTCAATCATCAGAATTGAGTAATTTATGTCAGCGCTCGTTAAACTATAGACAATTGCAAGCATGGCGCCACAAGTGGTGCCCCATGCGTACAAGCGCGTGCAACGCGCGGGTGGATGTAGCTTTGGCAAGCTCGTAATCGCACGGGCGTGCCTGCTCCAGCAGGGACATGGCGGCGGCCAGTCGCCCAGCTTGCAATCGTCTATACCCTTTCAGCATAACATTTTAATATTTACTCTCTTCAACAACTGCAGAATAGTTCGTAATATTTAAGTTGTTGTTTCGAATCAGGTTAAGTATAACACGCTCCAGTTTAATATTTGCGTCTGAGAATAACGCGCTACAAATTGGACAAATGCAAGGTGGCACTTAAGGACCAAACTCTCCGTATAAAAATAAGGCCTAACATGTGATTCTTAAGAATATTTCTAGCAACCACCGCACTTTCTGCAATTTGTTTAACGTCGTGGTATCTCAAGCGAGATCAAAACAATCTAATTTAGATTGCAGTATTTAGCTATAGAACAAAAGTTAAACGTATTACACATTGCGTACTGCATTTTGTGTAATAGAATGGTCGTTCAAGAAACCGAGACGTTTATTCCTACATGGAGAATGAAACATTCGGCAAACACGAAATTACGTTGAAATATTCTTTGAGACACGTTCAAACACCCCTGTCATTATTTTGGCAGCTTTCCGATTTCTTTGGCGTAGACATAAGTAGGCTGCCTGATTGTAGTCGGACGAACGTGTTCGCGAGCTTTGTCTGTCACCTGCTGTCGCCCTTCGCGAAACCGTTGACACTATTTATACACTCATCTCTACAGCGTCCTTTATTCCCCGTACTGTACTTACAATTTTTGCGACATTTCTGCTGGTTTCACTGTCTCCTTCCTCGGAATTATAATTATGCTCTACCGCTACAGCCACACAGGTCGACGCCATAACAGCTGGAACTGCTGCGGTTGCGGTAATACGTCACTGCAGGCACAGAATATTCGAGAATGGTTCCGCTAACGTCCCGCGCGAGGTTCATCACCCTAGATTTTCTCAGCGATTCCTTATGAACGAAAGTTTCCTCAATTATGAACAACCCTTGAACATCCGCACAGATGTTGGCGGTACAACGACAAACCTTTCCCATTATGCCCCGCACGTTCCTCGGCCGACAATTGTAACCGGCCAGGTATGACCAAGACGTACACTCACAACGCAACGCGGTAGCAATATTTCCTTTCAAAATGTTGGCGAACACCGGTACCTATAACAAAAAAAAATCAACAACAAAATTGGAATATCTTATAAGTTTAGGGAGTCTTTTAGGAACGAGCTGTCTCGGACTGCAATGGGGAAATCGCTTCTTTTGTTGTCGTAGTTCTACTCTGCAGCATCTTTCATGGCGCTATCTGCATTGCCCGTGATTGTCCACTTAGTGTTATAGTAACCGAGTTCAGCTCATGAAAAGTTAACAGCTGAGCTTGAAGTCACAGTATCTATTCAATATGGTGTAAGTATATATATATATAACCTACCGTAAAACTCAAGGTTACGATTTAACAGATGTGTGAGGGTTCGTCCGAGTGTCGTGTCCTAACTGACAAAAGACTAGTCCCAGACGCGGCGCGGCACACGTGTCGAGTTCGCGCAGGGCGTTCCCCCTCTTACGTGACATTAAAAATTGAGCGCTATGGCATAGTTAGCTATACTCATTGTCACATCAAAAAAAATATAATGTTTTCGTATTATACACGCGTTATGCTAAGTAGTTCTGATAAGATTTGATTGTCGAAAGAAGAAAAAATAATTTTGGCTTTAGGAACGGGTAAATCTTGATAACATGACCTAAAGCTAATCTAAGATGCACAAATTGCATCTTAATTCAAGGGCAAAAATAGTAACGTCCGGCGAGGTGCCAGAATTTTTTTCCTACACTTCTTGAAATGCATGCGTGTATAGGAGGTTTTGGAAGAGCCCACAGGACCGTTTTTCTTGTTCACGGGGCCGATTTATGCCAGCATCTAATGATGTCATAAACCGGCATTTCGCATTTGCAAAACGCGACCATAAGCGCGGCGCTGCAGCATCCGGTTATGCTCGAGCATAGCCTCCTCTATACTTACAAAGCCTGGCAGTTCGACGACGGAGCCATAAAGTGCCCGGTCGCAGATTTGGAGCGCGAGGATCTGGTAGCACCGAGCATCAAAGAGCCATTTCTCGGGGAACCTGGACGTCAGCGCACAACTTTTGCAGCGACGAGGACCCGAAACATACTTGTTCGCCCGGGAGGAGTGTGTCTCGGCGTCTCGCCGCAGCGGGGCGCCGGTCACGTGGCTCTCCTCTCATCCGTTGTCTGCCGCTCCACCTTTTCCATTTCGGCGGCCGCTTCTCGTGGCGATGTGCCAGGCTTTGTCAGTGTATAGGCGGCTATGGCACGAGTCACGATCGTACACGAGCGCCTGTCAGTGTCTGTCCTAATGTGCTAGCAAAGCACTTAAAATGAGAAAGAACAGCAACAAACTCAACGGGATAAAGTTGCAGCTCGCGGCTTCAGCGTCCTATCAAAACCATAAGAATGTAGAAATAGTACATCAGATTTAGCTAGTTGGTTCGTGTTTATTGGAAAGATTTAAAAGCGCGAAAAACACAGGGATGAAAAAGAAACACATACAACATGGGCGAGCGCCAACCTTAAGCTGACTCGCTGTATGTTTCTTCAAAAAAATGGAAAAGTGAAAAAAAAAATAGATGAAGGAACACCCACAACGTTGGCGCCAAATTTCAACACGTTGAAAGTTGGCGCACGTTCATGTTTAGGTGTTCTTTCTTCGTCTTTGTGCTTGATTTTTTTTTTTCCTTTAAGAAATCTTAAATAATGTAAAAATATTGTTCTTGCAGCTTTTTCAAGTTTTGCTCTTTCCTTTCATTCTGTCCGTAAGCTACGTGGAGGAGTTAAATGCTGCAGAACCGGAATGACACCTAAGAATATTAGTCCCACCAAAAGGGGGGGGGGGGGGGGGGGGGGGGGGGTTCCAGTGTTTGAATATGAACATGCATATATTGGAAGCGTGCGACAAGAAACTGGCGCCGTGGTGCGCCTCTTAGCAGAACCACGAGGCATTAACATCGCGTGTAGCAGCCAACCTAAGTTGCTAATCAATGCCAGCTTGCCTGAGCACGGCGCTATACAAAACGTTCCGAGCCTCAGTTGCCGGCAACTTTTTTTACCGCAAAACCCGGTAATGGAGAACGCGCCTCCATGCGATGGCAAAAAGACCCGCCATCATCTCAATCCCAATACGGCTACTCCATCCGCAAACGAGCTAAAAAGCAATCTGATAATAAACGGAGCGAGAAATACTTCTCATGTAGAATTTATCAATTCCTCGCACTGGTAGATATCGCCCCGTAGTGATTTCCGAACCATCCCACCCAAGGTTATTGAAACACGTTCAGCCAACGTCGTGCCTTTTTTTTTTTTTTTTGCCTCTTCTTATATTATTGTGCAAACTCTCACAACACGGCTCAGGGCGGCGCGACCATGAGGCGGTGTACTGCGCCGCGCCGAGCAAAGAAAATAGTGTGGCGACGCGCCGCGCGAGCGCCGTCGTCCCTTCATTTATATCTTGTTTCCCCCTATGCTCTCGGTAGAACCGTAGCGATCGAGGAAACCGTCGTCCCTTCGCTTTCAGTTTATGAGCAAGCCGTAGCTGCTCGTTGTTGTATGGTACGAGCGCCGCAGACGCTAACAAAACGGTGGTCTTATTTCTCGTCTGCTTCCCAGGATTTGGAAGCAGATGTTTTAAAACATCGCTCCCGTTATACAAAAAAGAACACAACAAAAACAACGATATTATATTGTACCCAGTGACTACACAAAACGTTTGATGATCAAGAAGCCTCGCGATTCGTTGGATTTATTGGAGGATGTATATTTCCCAAGCCCAAAGCGTGAAACATGCTCCGCACGAAACTCGGCGCCCGCAAGGTCGCTTTCCCGCACGACGATTAGACGCAGCTCGGCGCACGTGAG